TCTGCGCGGTCGTCCGCAGCCCACGGCCCGCTGCCCGCCCGGCCCTCCTCTCCTCTGCCTCCCGCGCCAGGGGCTGGCCGAGCGGACGCAGCCGTCCGGAGGAAGCCCGGAGAACTCGGGCTGGGCGGCTCGAGGCTCTCGGAAGAGGCGGAGAGGACTCCTTTGTCGGCTAGGTGCATGGAGGGCGCAGTTTCTACTCTAACGCTGTCGTTTGAGGGAACAAGCAGCGTGAACCGTGCATGTCGGGACTGCGGTGCAGTGTTTTTCCGGATGCAGGCCTGCGCCTGAGGAATGGTTAGGCGGAATAGTCAGTCGCAGCCGACAGCGGCTGAGGGGGCCGCGAGCCCGCGCCCAGCGCCGGGGACCCCGGCGACGGCGCCAGTGCCTGCGGCAGTCTGAGGAGGAGCCTTGAGGCACCCGCCAGCACCTCTTGTTTGGAATCGAAGGGTTGTTTACCTGGCAAAGAAGAATTCTCTCCTCAACTGTGTGAGAACTGGCGTTGGCTTCTACACCAAATCACCAGAGTTCTGGCACTGAGCGCGCTCGAGGCGATTCTTGCCCCGCCCTGTACGGAGCAATCGCAGCACTCCATCTGGCCACTCTCGGGAATACTGTGGTTTGGGTTTTTAAAATGAAAAATCAAAACCAGGGTGTTCAAAGATGCCAAGAGAGAGAAAATGAAGCCTTTTTCCCCCACAGATGAAAAATTCTTAGGAGAAAGTGCTGATGTGTTTCCCTCCAAATTGAACAGATCTAGTTTTTTTTTCAATGAAAACTTAGAAGAGCAAAACAAAAGCTGCGTCCTAGTCCTAGTTCCTCGCCTTCCTTGAATTTTAGAAATTATGCACCAAGTATTAGTATCTAATTTTCATGTCATAATTTTAAATGGTTACAAAGGGTGTCATTTGTGGCATTCTGTTAATAGCATTTTAAAGTATTACATCCTTTTTTAAAATGCATCAATGTAATCCACATACAATAGCGATTTAATACCTATTCTCTAACTAAAAATATTATGAGCTCTTTAAAAATCAGACATAAATTCTTTTCTCCGTTAACGCAATCCCATTCCACTTACCTCGAAGAATTAATATCCTAATGAAATCTGTTTTTATGCTTAAAAGTCTTGTGTTCACATTATCTTTTTTACAAGAGACCCATACAAATAATAGTCGTCATTTCTGATTCTATATTTGTAAACTCACCTACTTGCTACAATTTATGTGTAACCCCAAAATAAATACTTCCGGGACATCCTCAGTCACGTACTGACAAGTATGGAGCAGAACACTTGAATCACTGCACATTCCCAGCTGGGTGTGAACAAAGCCCTTCTCTGCTTTTTTGTTTCATTTCTCAAACTAAACAAATGTCCTCTCAGTCTTTTTAGTGCCATGGGTTTTTTGTACTTTTACTTGATAAGTTTTCTGTTTTAAATGGCCTCCAAATGTAGTACTGAAATGCTGTCTAGTGTTCCTATGCACAAGAAAGTTGTGATGTGTCTTACAGAAAAGAATTCGTGTGTTAGACAAGCTTCATTCAGGCTCGGGTTACACTGCTGAAGGCCACGAGTTCGTTAATGAGTCCACAATACGATACATCCAGAAAAAGGAAGAGGAGATCTGCCGGTCTGTGCACGAGGCCACTCCAGAAGGTGCTAAAGAACATCTGTAGTGTGATGAAGCCATGGAAAAAATGGAAAAGCACCTAAATATGTGGATCCGTGAGATGATGGCCAATAACAAAAGCACAGTGGACCACACTGTGGTGAGACTGAAAGCCAAAGAAATTTACAGTCATGTAACCCAGGGTCAAGAGCATGTTAAACCCTTCTCAGCCAGTGCAGGCTGGCTTGCATGTTTCAAAAGATGACACAGCATGAAAAACTTTTAAGCTTTCAGTAGAAGATGGCTCTACTGAAGGACAGAAGAATTTTTAAAATACCTGTTAAGTGCTATACATGAAAAGGGTTATGTTGAAGAGCAGTTTTTCGATGCTGATGAAACAAGTTTGTTTTACAAGAACATCAGCAGACAAGTTTACATAGTGCGGGTGGCTTTCAAAGCCCCTGGCTTGAAACATTCAAAGACCTTGTAACCTTACTCTTGTGCGCCAGTGCCAAGGGTGACTTTAAGTGCAAGCCCCTAATGGTGTGCAGAACCCAAAACTCCCACACACTTAAAGGAAAAATCCTCAGCCGTGTGCCAGTTCACTGGAGGTGGAACAAACAAGCACGGATGGTGTCTTGAGATATTCTGGGATTGGTTCCACAACTGCTTCATTCCAGAAGTTGAACTCTATCTCCAGGGCAAAAACCTTGCCCTCAGGCTTTTGTTAGTTCTGGATAATGCTCCAGCTCATTGCCATGAAGGACTTGAAAACGCCCAGCCCAAATACATGCCCGCAAATGCTACATCTCTCAGCCAGCCTCTCACTCAGGGCATCATAAAAGCTTTCAGGGCACATTACATGACAGCATTCTACAGTAGAGCTTGCGAAAGTCTCGATGCCACTGAGGAAGCCACTAGAACGACTACTGCAAGTCAGTCATGATCGGAAACACTACTGAAATGTTGGCACAGCCTGGGATAGCATCAGACAGGCTCTGATCGATAACTGCTGGGAAAATGTTTGGCCAGACTGTATGAAACATTTCAAAGGGTTTGAAGGTGTTACAGAGAACATAAAGAACAGTGTCAAGAATGTAATGTGTATTGCACAGCAGATAAGCAGAGAAGGTTTCAACAGCATGACAGAAGATGTGGAAGAAATGCTGGCAGAGAAGGCAGTGGAGCCAACCAAGGACCCAGATGAGATGGTGAAAGCAGGCACTGTTGATCAGGGACGAAAGCCAGACAGTGATGACGGCTCAAGGCTCCAAAAACTGTCCCTCTGCAGCCAAAATATCTGAATGGAATTCTGCCTTAGAAAAAGTTTTTAGTGATACGGAAGAATGTGACCCTTTGCTTGAACAAAGCCTCACGTGTAAGCGCCTCACCTCCACCGCATTTGTCCCTTATTCTGAGACTCTTACAGATCTGAGGTGAAAAGCCAGGCAGACTAGGCTGAAGCAGTTTTTCTAGCCAGGGTGAGCAGCAAAAGTCCTACCCTAGGACTGCTGGGTGACAGTATGTCACCCTCACAAACATCTTCCTCTGTGCAGAACAAGCTCCACCAGTGTCTCCTTTGGTCTTCATCAGGCTTGATGAGGGGGCTGTGGAAGGTCAGACCACTGACACATCCTGCAGTCCATGCACAGCAAGATGTCAACTACCGTCATATATAACTTTAGGTGCATACTCTGCTTCATCCTTTTGTCAGGACTTTATTTGCATTCCTGTAATATACAGTGTGTGTTCACAGTACTGCATTTACTGTTTATGAACACATTTTGTGCGTGTACTGTCTGTGTACAACTGAGTGAAAAGTAAGCTAATATAGTCATGGTAGAGTATATTATGTAATGCTGTAACTGAAATAATGTTTAAGTATGAAGGTAGATTGTATATAACTGTCCATCACAAAAATATATTCAATTAGCTGTCTCCAAACAACTATCCATAAAACAAAGTCATGTATTCTGTCCAGACTCTTATAGGAGCCTGCTTTTATTTCCCTTAGGAGTCATGTGGCCATGGACAAGTCAATATTTGAGCTAACTTTACAGACCATAATTACCACAAATAATGAGAATCTACATGTAAGATTATTAAGCCATGAGAACCTATTCGTTAGGATCTGACTTAACAGAGCTGTCGTGGGTACACAAGTGACAGAAACTATAAATGTACTACAGTTTTTGATAAATATAAAAGGTAAAATCTTATTTGCAAATGTACACCTTGATGAGAAAAATGGGACTTTAAAAAAATGGGTTCATGGGGCTGGGGATTTAGCTTAGTGGCACAGCACCTGCCTGGCAAGCGCAAGGTCGTGAGTTCAATTCCCGGTACCAGAAAAAAAAAAAAAAAAAATTGGTTTATTTACTGTGGGTGATCATCGCTCTTGCCAAAATGAACCATGGCCCAGCCTCAGTTGTCTCTCTGGGGTTTCTTTATGCACATGCCAAGAAACCATGTTCATAAAGGTAAGCACATGGATGCGGGAGGAGTTTGTGGTGTAACTTTATTCTCCGAAGTCGTCTCAGCTAGGGCGGGGTGTAGCTCAGCAGGGAGCAGATGCTGAGCGTGTGCAAGGCACTGGTTTGAGGGCCAGCGCCTCAGAATAACTAAGAATTCTGAAGCCTCCCGAGTCACACAACCACCGTCTAGACAGGGCCCATCACAGGTTGCAGACTGCGCCATCCGTTGACAACTCGATCAGAGTCTCTGTTGGTTTCTGTGCAAGCCAAGTTCAAACCCCAGAGCTGCAAATTCCCCATCACTGGGATCACTGACTTCTCAACACCCTGGATGGTTTCAGCCACCCCATTTACGTACATGGCCGTCGGGGATGTCCTGTGGCAGTGCTCCGAAGCAGCGCCACACACAGGTGCACGGGGTAGCTTCTGTGTGAGGGAAAAGGGCCACTGTGAAAGGGGAGGTGGGCGGCCCAGCCCTCTGAGTACCCCATCACAGGCACAGGCCCCTCCTCGCTCATCAGCTTGGGTGAGGAAGCATCTAAGTCGGGGGTCTGGAAACAGATTCCCTTGAAACTTGCCCGTGACTGCTGACCTCGGAGGCTTCCTGTCCACCCCCAGAGTGCAGGCAGTGAGCTCCTTCAGAGAACATACCTGCTCAGAAAACTGCAATAGTAGAATGAAAAGCTCATAATACGTGAATGAGCAGAGCGTGGCTGTGTAACATACCTGACGGGCCACCTAGGTTAAGTCCCTGACCCTTATCCAATTTAAGACTAACAGCCTTTCTCACTGCGTTGTTGGGAAGAGCAAAGGGGTCGTATGTTTGGTGACACGTATTAGGCCTGGACTCCACGACCGATCTTGCAGCTCCGAGACCGGGTCCATGCGCTCCGCATGGCAGGCATAGCCACCTGAAGCCTTTCTGTCTGGGGCCTGGAAAGGAGAGACAAACGGAACTGCATGTTCAGAGGTGTGACGGTGAGGCCGGCACAATGGTGCACACTGTCCTAGCTAAGGTGGGAGGATCCCTTGAGCTCCTGAGATCAAGACCAGCCTGGCACCAAAGCAAGACCCTGTCTCAGAAATAAAAGGGGGGAGGTGACATTCTAGAAGTCCATGGCAGTCTCAAGGGTGGTACATAATCAGGGGCAACTGAGGTTGTGGATGACGTCACAGTGTGCAGTGAAAACATCTGGAATGCTATGGTACAGAACCAAACAGGCAAAAGCCCCTGAGTGCCTCCCCAGAGAAGTCCAGGCATGGCCAGTGAGCACTGGGAGAAGTGTTCCACGTCATCAGCAAGTCAAAGCTACAGCCAGCGTGCCAGTGCTGCTGGCAAGGCTGAGGCAGTGAGGCGGGAGAGGGTGCAAGGTCACTCGGGAGCCGGCAGTCTCCTACGAAGTTAGACTACTTCTGCCCTAGCCCAGGACTACTCAGCTGAGAGACGACAGCCGACATCGCAGAGAGCCGTGCGTGAGCATGCTGGTGGCCGCTTCCCTCGCAACAGGCAAAGCCTGCACAGCTCAGAGGCAGGGCCCTCGTGCCCCTCCAGAAGGATCCGAAAGACCATCCACGCTGCCCAGGCCACTTCCCGAGCCGTTGGCCCAGATTTCCTACCCCAGTAAAAACTCCAGGCTTTTCCATCAAAGGCCTATTAAATGAAGGCATAGGCAGTCTCAAAACCGTTAGGATTGTCTTTACAAGTCGGGCTTTTGGGCTTTGTATCTAATAAAAGGTGTCTAGAGTAAGCAATCACAGCGATCTGAAGTCAGACTCCAGGCTGTCCGGTTGCGCCTCTGCACTTCAGCTGCTCTGGGCCGGGCACCGTCAGCTCCCCCAGTCACCACTCTGTGCCAGTGGAGGCCTGAGCAGCCCCAGGGAGTGCTGAGGGTCTGAGGACAACTGCCTGGGAAGGGCACCAGGACTGTACTCAGCAGCAGTGCATACTTATGTGCTGCGACAGCACATTCTGTGCTTCCCACTGGAGAATGAGTTACACTCCAACCAGCACACAGGTGCCCAATCTTTGCCACCTGCAGCCGAGGCACCTGGCTGGAGAACATCCAGGGCCCCCTGAGCTCCTGTGGGAAGACCCCACCCCAGGTCAGGCCCATTCTGGCTCACCATCGCTCCCTGGTGGCTCCCACTGGCACTGCACGTTGAGCAGTCATAACCAGCCTGAAGCCACATAACCAGCCCACCTGGGTCACTGAAGTCCCTCATAGCATAAGCGCAGCCCCTGAGGGAGTGCGGCTCTTTCACTTGCAGAGATGACATGAGTGGCCAGCAGTTAAAGAGTGTGCACTTCCCCAACCCGCTCTGTGCCCAGGAGCTGCCCCCAAAGCCTGCTCACTAGGGGGTCCTGCTCGCACAGACCCCACCACCTGGTGTCCAGCTGTGCAGTCAGGAACATCACACCACAGCTCTGGATCAGCCCCTGGCAAAGATTCACACCACAGACATCAGGCCTGCCAAGCAGGTGCCGCCTTGGACAGCCGCGGTGACACAGGTCCCAGCCTCCGCTGGCCATGGCTCCCTCCCAGCCCCTGCCCAGGAGGGTGAAGGCCTGGCAGGTAGCCACGCCTCTGCCACCTTAGTCTCCTCATTAGCCGCTCCAGTCCCTCTGCTCATCAAGCCAGCTCTCTCCTGCTGACACCTAACCTGGAGCACTTCTGGCAGCAGCTGAAGAGAACACAGTGTAAGAGCCAGAGGTGCGAGGCAATGTGGAGGGCAGACAGTGACCCATAGTGTGCCCATGAAGCAAGCCACCCACACCCAGCACCGGAGAGAGCAGGCAGCACCAAGTCTGTCACCCCGGGAGAGTGGTGCTGTCACATGAGCATCTACAAGGATACCCAGAGCTGTCATCGGGGGCACCCCAGGGGGACAGAAGAGACCCGGGGACGGGACAGGAAGTTGTGCTGCTCACTGTCCACTTAATGTTTGTCCTGCTGGGTTTTGGATTTGCTTTGGTCCCATTCCTTTGTATCCCCGTTTGTAACTTTTGGCATGAAAATGTCTATTTTGTGCCACTGAATGTGGGAAGTGCTTCATTTTCTTTTCCTTTGTGCAGGGGCTCACAGCTAAGAGTTTGCTTTACATCTCAAAGGACACGTGGGACTTGGACTTTTCAGCAATGCTGAAACTATTAGGACTTTGGCAACTCTCAGAGATGGACTAAGTGCCTTTTGCATAAAAGGATGTGCATAAGTCTTTGAGGAGACGTACAAATGTTATGGTTTGTATCTAGATGTCCCCCAAAAGCTTCATGTGGTCATAGGTGGGTGTTTTTCAGAGGTGGCTGAATCTAGAGTGTGTAATGCTGGGATTAAAGGAGTATGATTAGTAAATCATTCCACTGATTGGTTTGGCATAGTTCTGGCTAGGGTTAACGGAGTGAGTACTACATCCAACAGGGCGGGGAGCCTGCATACAATATAAGGGACAGGAAGAGTCTTGATTCTCTCTTTCACTGCTTTTGCTGACTTCCACCACCATGAACTGATGCCCCTCTGCCACCCTGCCTTGGAGCCAGCCAAGTATGGACTGAAGCCTCCACAAATTGTGAGCCAAATAAACCTGTCTGCCTTTAACTTTGGGTGTTGGGCATTTTGTCTGAGCAACAAGAAAAGTAACTAAGACAGCTATTAGGAACTGTGCTGCTATAAATACAAGTGTGCATGGATCACTGCAGTATGATGTCTTTAGCTCTTTCAGGAAAACAGCTAAGAGTGAAATAACTGGACCAAATGGAATTTCTGGTTTTAGTTTTTTGAGGAATTTCTACACTGATTGTACTAATGTACACTCCCACCTACAACAGGGAGGTTTCCTTCCCAGAGTTGGCTTTTCCTGCATTCTCTGTTCAGTGAAGTACTAAGTTAAGGGCCAGGGATATGGCTCAGTGGCACAAGCACCTGCCTAGCAAATGCAAGGTCCTGAGTTCAATTCCCAGTACCAAAAAAAAAAAGTACTAAGTTAGGGGCCTGTGTCTATGGGAAGTCCCACTGGCACTCATTAAGTACCACGAGTTACCGGGGTCTCCACACTGGTGCTGTAGCCTGGGGGAGTGGAATAAGACAGGACAGGGGCATGGCCTGCGCAGAGGGTCGAAGGTGACTCCGGCATCATGTGAGCATCAGCACGGACTCACACAAAAAACAGCGACCCTGTCACCAGAAGACAAATTCTAGCCAGGTGTAGTGGCACACACCTGTAATCCCAGCACTCAGGAAGCTGAAGTAAGAGGATCGCCACAAGTTCAAGGCCAGCCTGGATTACACAGCAAGACTCTGTCTCAGAAGGGGCGGCGGGGGGAATCCTGTGGGAGCATCGTCAGTGATCAAAAACAGCAACTGCAGCACGTGGCTGTTACTGATCCTGTATGAAAATCAATAGTTAAGACAGGAGCTCTCCTGAAACTCTATCTTTGGAAATACAATCACTAGGCCAAGTGAGACAGAAATGAAGACGCTCTTGGTTTTGCCTACAACTTCCTGGCACGAGAGACAGATGCGCCTGCCTCGGCCCTCCCATAGGACTTGGAGGCAGGCCGGCTCGGCTTTACCTGGGAGCACACCGGGCGGGCGGGGGCGCTGGCTCAGGGAGTGCCGCTGAGGAGCTCCGGTTACAGCTCCTGCCCTGTCACCAGGGAGCATCGCTGGTGCCCTGCCAGCCTGCCGCTCCCTCAGGTCCCGCTCCTGTCAGGTGCCTGGTCCTGCGTCTGAGGCGCATGTTCACTGCGGCTGCGTTACATTAGCTCCTGTTTCACGAGGGCTGCTGTGATGCTGACCAAGACAGAGACGCAGAGGGATGGGGAGACAGAGGAGAGACAGAGAGATGCAGGGACAGAGACGGGGAGGAAGAGAACGGAAGGGATCCGCCCGACTCAAGCCCTCCACCTGCGGTCCTAGGACTGGGACCAGGACTGGGTCCTAGGACTGGGTCTTCCCACCAGCGCAGCAAACACTGACTCTCCCGGAGTGGCACCGGCCGGGCATTGGGCAGCACACCGGCCTCCACTCCCTGGCCTCCCCCACATGCGCCCCCATCCCCCAGTACCTGGCTGCTCCTGGGCAGCCTGTCCACTGTACTTTCCAAACACGCCCCAGCCACACCACTACCCTTTGAGCCCTGGAAAACACCAGAGCTTTCCTCAAAGCAGCCTGCCGGCCCTGTGCACCTCGCCACCCCTCCACACCCCCTCAGCCACCGGCCTCTCCCGGGCCCCTGGCTAACACACACCCACTCTATCACGGCCACCCAGCGTCCCCTCCGAACAACGCTGCCCACTGCCAGGGGTCGGTGCTTCTCTGCTCACGGCCTGAAATCCACTTCTCTCCTGCAGGGCACGCACAGATTGTCTTCCTCCTGCAATTCAATCAGGTCATTTACTTAATGTTGGTCTCCTCCTGCAGATACTGCACTAGGCTATTTCTGCAAATCATCAAATCTGCAGGACCTCACACAATGCTTGGAATGCAGCAGACACCCAACCAAGATTTGATGAGAAAATAAATGAGTAGATAAACAGACAAGCTCTCCGGCTATAAATCCCTTCTTCCATAAAACGTAAAGATCGTATTTACTCTTGTGTATTAAAACCCTATACACAATTTTCTTTTTGTCTTTTTTGAGACAGGTTCTTGCTATGCAGTTCAGGCTGCCTTGATCTCACTTTGTAGGCCAGGCTGGTCTGAACTTGCAATGATCCTCCTGCCTCAGCTTCCCAAGTACTGGGATCACAAGTGTGTGCCACCATGCCCAGCGCCATACACAATTTCTAAGCTTATGATTTGGCTGTAAAGTAGGAGACGGCTGGCCAAAGGAGTGAAAGGTCCATTACACCAACAAAAATGTGATCACGACAGGGCACAGCTTGCCACATGCCAGGTCTTGAGGTTCCATGGACACAGCGAACTGGTGCCCTCTAACGGGGGCGGGGGGGGGAGCCTGGTGACTGTCCACTGCATGAAATCTCACAGGGCCAGACAGTGACTATCCACGACCTGTTCAGTGTGGTCACTTCCTCCTGTCCCCAGGACCCAAGCAAGCACTGGCCTGCTGTCACTATGATCACCTTGCACTTTCAAGAGGTATATGAGGTGCAATCCAAAAATACAGTAAATGTCCAACTTTTTAAAAATTTGTTAAAGTAAAACGCACATTCCCATAAATCCTCTTAAGATCCCCTTGACTTCAAACACACTCCTCCCATCATCCTCGCCACTTCCTGCAGCAGCTCTGGAGTCCTCTTTCCTGAGGGTCTTTAGCTACGCTGTCCTGGCTGCCCTAATGTCCTGAATGGATTCAAAATGTTTTGCTTTCATGGTCATTTTGACTTTGGGGAGGAGCCAGAAGTCACTCGGTGCCAGCTCTGGTGACTAAGGTGGATGAGGACACAGTGTCATGTTTTTATGAGCTGCCTTTCTGTTGGATGGTGCTCGGCAGCTGCCTGAGGACGCCCATGAAAGAGGACTTCCAGAGCTGTTTCAGAAAGCCAAAGAATAATGGGATACATGTGTTCAAAGCAAAGGGGAACATCTGAGAGGGACTCATGGTGATGCAGCTTTCGTTATAACACTTTTTCTTAATTTAACATTCACTGCATTTCCCAGTGCCCTTGGCCACGGATGGACTCACACAGGAGGCACTTGTCTGGTCTATCACCTGTCACTGGGTGTCACGTGGAGACTCACCGTGTTCCGCAGTACGCTTTCTATTGCTGAGCATGCCCCATTCATGGGTTCTTCCACTCACCAGCTGAGAGGCATCTGCCTGTCGCCACCCTGCGCTATTAACAACAAAGCTGCTGGAGCCTGTGTGCAGGCCTTGGCCCGGACATGCCACCCTCACTGTCTTGGGCAGACACCTAGGGAGGGCTGACACATTTGCTAGACACACGCTTGTATTTTAAGAAGCTGACAGTCTCTTTGGGAGACACTCCCATTGCACATTCCCACCACAGTGTCCCGTCCCTTCACACTCAGCCAGTGCTCGGTGTGACCACCCCTTCGAGGATGAGCGGCCCTCGCAGGGAGGAGGTGACGTCTCGCCGGGGCTTGAGCTGACATTTCCCCAACGACCGATGGCGCCAGTTTCTTCTTCTGTCTTACTTCCACTGTCCATCTTTGGGGAAGGGTCTGCTCAGACTCCTTTCTAATTTTGTAATTAGGTTCTTTTCTTGTCAGCGAAGCTTGGGAGTTCTTTATGAATTCTGGATACAAATCCTTAGAGATCTTAGTAATTTGCAAGTGTTTCTTCCTGACCTGTGTATTTGCTTGTCATTCTTTTAAAAATGTCTTTCGAAAAGCAAAGCTTTTGTTGTTGTTTGTTTTTATGTACCCCTGGCTGGCCTTGAACTCACATTGATCCTCCTGCCTCAGCCTCCCTATCCTGGAATTACAGAAACGCACCACCATGCCTGACTCAGAACTTTTTCATTTTGATTAAGTCCAATTTATTAACTCTTTCATTTATAGATCGTGGTTTGAGTGTCCTCCCTAAGAAATCCTGCCTGGCCCAAGCTCAAGGTGTTTTATCCTATTTTCTTCTAGAAGTTTTACATTGTTAGGCTTCACACTTCACTCTGTGATTCGTTTCTGAATTAACTTCTCTGTTCCGTGCAGGGTGTAGCTAGAAGCACGCTTTCTGAAGTGTGCGTGTCTGTGGCATGGTGAGGGCTGCACACCCTGCGGACGGCACATGTCCAGTTCCGGTCCACACCTGCACTCGCCAGGTCCTGCAGCTCTGTTTCCGTCTTCAGGCAGAGCAGTGCTGCTTTGTTCGGGGAGCTCGCTGAGAAGTCTGGAAAGCACACCCCAGCTCCTTCCTCCCCCTCGACACCGCAGCCGCTGTTCCAGGTCCTCTGCAGCTTCATATAAATTTAGAATCATCTGTCAAGTTCCGTCAAAAAAAAAAAAAAGAAAGAAAAGAAAGAAACCCTCGGCTCTTGGATCGTGGTCACAATTCTGCTGGATCAGCAGCTCAGTGAGGAAGAACAGGCAGCTCGGACGGCGGGACTCTGACGCAGGCGCTGCCTCTGTCTGCGCGTCAGCCCCCACCTCGGGGTCGCTCTGCAGCACCAGTGTTCCACACAGGGCAGGCCTGCCCCAGTCTCGTCAGGTTTATGTATGGCGTTTCTCCCCTCTTGTTTTTCTTTTCCTTTTGCTGGTGCCCAGAATTCCAGCAGATTTCTGCGCCTTGGCCTCGTACACTTCAAACTTGCAGACACACTTATTAGTTCCAGGATGCATTTTGGAATTCCAGCCTCTCTTTCAAGTACACAGTCCTTGCTGTACACATGCAGCTTTACCTCCACCTCCCTTTCCCCAGACACCCAGCACAGGTGGAATGGGGGTCAGGACAGCGGCCCCTGTGGTGGGGAGGGGACTTCCTGCAATGCAGCCCCATCAGCCTTGGTGGAGCATGAATAGTTCTAATGCAGCGCTGTGACACAAATCATACCCAACCAGACCACAGCATGTTAATGTTAATGTGCACCCAGCCAGACTGTAGAGTGTCAGCATATGCCCACATAAAGGAGACAAAGACATGAAAATTGTATAAAGGGTGGAACTAGGCCATGCTCGGCACTTAGCCTTTGGATATGAGTCCGCTGAGTCTGTGCCGGCAGCAATAAAGCCACTTCCTGGAAACAAGACCTCCACGTCCCTCTCTCTAAATGAAAATCCCATAGCATCCTTCACTCCTGGTCCAAGGGCAGCTTCCCACGGTTTGGGTTACAGACTCCCCTTCTGTGGGTTGAAGGTGTTGCCATCTACACCTGGAGCGCTGGGAGGTGTTCTTTAAATCATGAATGGATGCTAGATTTTAGCAAATGTTTTCTGCACACACTGAAATCACCCTATGACTTTTCTAGTTTGTTCCTATCATGGGTCACATCGCATCCTTTTCACATGAGGACCAACCTTGGGGTTCCTGAGATCCATGCCCTTGGATATGCACGGCCCTTCCTGTATCCTGCTGAACTCGAGAGGCTGGGGCGGCTGGAGTGTCACACCATGGCCACGGAGGTCACTGGTCTCCAGTCGGCACATCACTGTTGGCATTGCTCTGGGGAAAAGGTGATCCCACGGACAGGGCTGGGACACCCTCCCTCACTTCCAGTTCTTTAAGAGAGTGTGTGGACTTGACATTATTTTTCCCTGTTTGTTAGAATTTAGCAGGGAAGCCATCTGGCCTGCGATTCTCCTTGTGAGAAATTTCTTTGCCTGCAAATGCAATTTCTGAAACAGGGACAGGGCTATTCAGGCTCTCCGTTTCTTCCGGAGCAAGTCTTGGTAGTTTGCTTTCCAAGGAACCTGCTTGTTTCCTGGAAGCTGCAGGATGTATCAGCATAAGAACCCCAGCTGCTGTCACTTTCCCTCTCTGTAGAGTCTAGGTGACGCCTCAGATGGGTCCTTGTGTACTTTCTCCTTTTTCTTCCGCTCAGTATGGCAGTTGGTTTGTCAATTTGACTGATTCGTCTGAGAAGCAGCTTTTGGCTTTAGTGATTTGCTCCAGGAATTTTCTGCTTGTCCCTTCGGATCCCTGCCACTCTGTACCATGCTTGCTCCTTGTGCAGGTCACCCTGCCCTTATTCGGGTCACTCTGCCCTCATTCTCCCAGCTCTTTCTGGCAGAGGCGCCATTTCAGACCCCAAAGACAGCTGTGTGCAGGTGGACACGGTCCCCCCGAGGGCCGTCCTACAATGAGGAGCGGAGGCCGCAGCCTGGCCGGCGTGGGGAGGTGGCGCCGGGGACTTGGGGACCCTGCAAGTCACCCTGCTCTGTCAGATGCATGGCCGGGGGACCCTCATCCTCCTCCGTGTCCCTAATTCATAAAGTCTGGAAGACACTCAGTCCAGGTCTCCTGTCACTTAAAAATGCACCCTCCGAGGCCCTTTCTGGAAACGTCGCCTTTGACACACGTCTGTCAGGAATTTGAACACATGCTATTTATAGAGCCTGTTTTCTAAAGAAACAGAAATGCATTTGGAAATCCGAACAGTTAAAACCAGAAAGAGCCTGCTTCCACCAGAAGTCTGCTTCCGGCACCCCCGTTTTGTGAGATTCATTATACAATCGCAGATCTTAAATAAGACGAGTTCTTCAGCACCACAGGAAAACGTGGCCTTGAGATCACTCAGAAACACAAGAACAGCCCGGAGGAAGACCGGAAGTCCCAGGGCTCAACCGCTCCTCCGGGAGAGCTGCAGCACAGGTAGTGAGGACAGCTAGGACTCTTCCAAAACTCCTCAATCCTGTCAAATCACTGCATCGTTCTCCCTGAAGTGAATGACGAAGCCATAATCTTGCAGTGAGGGTTCAGAGAGCAATCAGGCTTCTCCAAGAACCTGTGCTCCTGATTACAGAGGGCACTGCAGGTTTCTCCGGAGCTGGGACCACTCGGGTCAGGAAGGTGGAGGGGAAGCTCCTCAGCCTACGAGCTTTGTGTGAGACCGTCAGAGCAGAGCAAGAGGCCACCGCAGCACAGCCACTGTGTGTGGAGTCCACAAGGAGGCCTTCTGCCACCGCTGGAAAACTGGGCAGAGCCAGGCTCCCTGGAGAAACAGCTCAGAATCAACAAACCAGGAGCTGTGGGTTCCCACTTCTGACCAAGCAGCTTCATATAAACTGGAAAGCTCACCAGCTTTTTTGTGCACTTTTCCAGGTTCACACTTTCACTTAGCTGCTTTAGGGAAAAGAAGATTATTATTATCCCATGAAAGAAAGCTACTCCAATTATACAAAGGGTGTTCAAACTGTATTGTGAAAGTTTAACTTCAAAAGCACAGAGTAGTAAGACACATGCATGAGTTCCCCCAGAATCCTCCCCTCCCTCTGAGCGCACTCATCCCACGGTTCTGGCCACTTTCTGCAGCAGCTCTGGAGTCCTCTTTCCTCAGTGTCTCTGTGAGGTATGATCAAAAATATGGTGAATGCTGCTGCAGTGCACAATGCAACAGAAAAGCACCTTGTAAAAACACGACGCGGTGTCCTCACCCACCTTATTCACTGGATCTGGCACCGTGTGGCTTCTGGATCTTCCGAAAGTCAAAATGAGCATGAAAGGGAAATGCATTGAATCCACTCGGGACATCAAGGCAGCCAGGACAGCGCAGCTAAAGACCTCAGGAGAGAGGACTCCAGAGCTGCTGCAAAACACGGCAAGGACGATGGGGTACACATGTTGGAAGTAAGGGGGAGTATTTTGAAGAGGGTTCCTGGCGATAGATCTGCTGCTGTCATAGTTCTTTTCAATGTAAACATTCAATACTTTTGTCGATCGCACCCCCTGATGAAGTTATGCTTGAAGCACCACGCACCGGAGAAAAGGCCACGTGAAACAAGTGGAACACACCAATGTAGTCGCAAGAAGCACAGGAGAGCTGCAAGCAAGGGCAGTGCCTGTCTGTCCGCCTGTCTGCCTATCTGCCTGTCACTCTTCTGCGGCTACAGGGATTCCAGTTCAAAGAGTAAAACTGTCTCAGACTCGCTTCTCTTGCAACACCCTTCAAACTGCCGGGAGAACAAGAAACACAAACATCGCCTCCAGGGACACCAGGGACACCTGTGCCCCGGGCCACCGCGTGAGGTCAGGACCCGCTCACCTTCCCTGCTGCTAGGATTCTCTGCCGTGTTCTCCAGCCGCCTGGCGTGGGCAGAGGCGGCACCAGGAGCTTCAAGGAGCCGGCCTCACACCGCTGCTCCAGCCACCTGATTATCCCCAGGGTCCCCAACCCGTGGCAGGAGACCAATTCCAAGAGACGTCAGGTGAGGGCAGACGTGGGAAGGGACGTGCCCCAGAACAAGAACAGGGCGAGGGAGGGAGGGGCACGGAAACAGAGAGCGAGTGGGAGGCAGGAAGTCGGAGGCAAAGAAACAAGCCTGGGAAAAGGAAAGCAGAGCACTCAGGAATGCAGGAGGAATGACCATAACCCAAGGAGAGGCAAAGGGGAAGTGTGGCTTCAGCGCAGACCAGGGCCGCTCACCTGCTGGCCGCTTCTGCAGGGCCGTGCAGGTGCTGGCCCAGCCAGGGCCCAGGCAGCGGCCCCAGCAGCACTGCAGCCCTCTTCCCTCTGAGAGGAGCGCGCAGGCGGCTCCCCAGAGCTGTGTGAGTGCAACAGGGCCTGGCACACGGCACGCGCTCAGCCCGTACTGTCCCTGCCGAGGATGGCCGAGGCTGCAGAGGAGAACCAGCACCGGGCAGGGGCCGAAGGAGCGATGCGCTTCCCGGACAGGGATGCAGGCCCAGTGCAGCCCCGAGCAGGGCCCGGCCTGCACACACCATGCGCGCATGGGCGGCTGAGGGTGGTCGTGTTGCAGCTGCCACCCACAGCCCGGGGACGCCACACAGCAAGCCGTGAGCCCTCAGTAACAGACAGCAGCTGCCCCCTACTCGCCCTCACTCAGTGTCAGGCTGCAGGGTCCCCCAGGGCCCGGGGGAGGCCCCACAGCCACAGCCCCCAGCCTGGGGTTTGTCCTCCAGGAAGGCAAGGACTGTCCGAGAAGGCAAGGCCCCGCCTGGGGCTGGCACCTGTCACTTCTGCCACCAGGAGTCAAGGCCAGCTGAGACTCAGGGAGCGCCAGGCCCTGGGCAAAGGGTGGGCTGGGGGCTGGGCCGCTTTCATCATCTCTGCTTTCCACCCTGGTGGCCACCCTCCCCGAATCACAGCCCCAGGCCCTCCTGGCACGATCCTGGCAGCACCACTCACTCAGACTACAGTGTGACCGGTGCCCCCAACCACTCACAGTGCACAGCCTACCCAACCCTATGCAAGCGCCCAGCTGGGCGTGACGAGAGCCTGGGCTGGATACTTTGCAAAGACCCTGCTGTCCCCCCGCTGTGGTCAGAGTTCACGCACGTGCAGTTCGCTGCTGTGCAGGTGACGGGGACTCCGCAACGCACCGACCCTGCAGTTTTGTGAACACTGCGCTGCGACCCTCGGGGACGGCCCCACCCGTCCTCTTCGGGGACAACAGCAAACACCGCCCTCCGCAAGGCCGGGAGCTGCCTGGCCCACAGCTCACCGAGTGCAGACGAAGTGGATCCAAACCCGGCAGGAGAGGCAGCCTCCCGACCCGACCCAACCCGGCTGCACAGGCCTGATGCAGGATGGCTCAGAGGCTGCTCCAAAGCCCTTGGGCAGCGTCTCGGGCTGGTCAGGCCCTCCCTGGCCTCTACGAGTGTGACCCCAGCCCCAGCCCCCTGCCCCGCGGCCGAGGGACGAGAACTATGGGTGGCCCGCACAACACTGCCTCTTGGGGTGGGACAGAGGTCGCTAGGACCGCGCGGCCATGAGGGGAGGTGACAGCCACACTTCAGGGCCAGGGTGGTTTTGCTTAGGGTTTTCTGGCTATGGGCCCTGGATACCCAGCAAGGGGCCCCCCACAAGGGGCACCTCGACCCCCCTGGGGCGTGCCGGACAATGCGCCAGGCCTTGTCCTTGGTGATGGACACAGGGTCAAGGTTCAGAGCACCCGGGTTTCTGACCAGGGAGCGGCAACGTCCCCTGCGAGACAAGAGGGACCGCGGCTCTGCCACCAGCCTGCCAACAGCCACTCGTCTGTCACGCCACAGCAGCTGGTCGCCTCGGGAGGAGGAGGTCAGGACCACAGACGCGCTTCCATTTGCAGTCCAGGGCACACGGTGCTGGGCCTGGGGACAGATGGGGCCGGGAGCCCTGTACCTCCGCTGTGTGCTCTGTCCCGCTACAGTGCCCATTCCCAGGGGTCTCTGAGGGGGAAGCGGCATGCGACCCGCTCCCAAGACACCCTGCCATCCTCCTCAACACCCCAGGAGGCTTCAGGCCAGAAGCCTCCCACGCCCCTTCCTTCCCAAGACCCCCAGAGGGCAGGCGCAACCCGCTCGCCCTGACCACACACCTGCCTGGGTGCTGGTGGCAAGCACGGTGGCCTGGGCCGGACTCTCCCTCACCCCCTGCAGCGGGGCGCCCTGCGGGCCTCAGAGTCCTCATCTGAGAGACAGACACCAGGGAGACAGGACTGGAGAAGGAGGGCGTACCAAGCCCGAAACTCCCAACAGACACAACGCAACGCTTACTGAGAGGAGAAGCACTTGTGCTGGGCGCAGTAGCACAGGCCTATAATCTTAGCACGCAGGAGGCTGAGGCAGGAGAATTGCCTCGAATATGAGGCCAGCCTGGGTTACATAGTGAGTTCAAGGCCAGCCTAAACTCAGAGTGAGACCCTGTCTCAAAAAGGAAAGAAGAAGATGAACAAGAAACTGCACTTAAGGCCGGCAGTGCGTGAGGATGGGGGCATCGGGCAGTTCCAGGGCGGCTGCTGTAGACGAACAAGAGCCTAGCCGTGGGACACCATGGTCGGCCTCGCTGCCCTCTCTGAGGCCCCGCCCACCTTTCTAGCCCCAGGGCTCCAAGGCCCTCCTCCCCTCCACACACACACACACACACACACACACACACACACACGGGTGTGCACGGCATGCGTGTGCCCAGGTGTCCATGCCCCCATCAGCACGGTGGCCTTTCCAGGCTGGCTCCTGCGACGCCCTCCAGATGCCCTGGCTCAGGCTGCACGGAAGTCTGCTGTTTCAAGAGCACATGGACACATGCGGGGACACGAGGACACATGCGGACACGAGGACACGAGGGCACACACATGGGGACGCAAGCACATGGGGACACACAAGGATATGAGGACACACGCAACATGGTCCGGTTCTGCTCTTCTCCCACCGCCCAGCTCAGGGCTGAGGTGTCTCCAGGCCGCCCGCCTCACAGGCAAGAGCGCACCACTGTGAAACGCACAGGCCCCAGGCCCCGCTCGGCCGCCCCTGTTCAGCATCCTCGTGGGCTTTAGCAGGTCTCCTTCCAAACAGTCCAGAGACGCACATCGAGTCACTCCTTCACAAGGGATATGTCAGTCAGTCAGTCAGTCAACAAGTCATTATTTTTGTGCGGTTTTTTTGGGACGGGATCTCACTATTAGCTCAGCTTGGCCTGGAACTCAAGCAATCCTCCTGCCTCGGCCTTGTGACCACAGCTGTCAGCGTGGCCTTCCCACCAGCATGTCCTGAGCAGAGCCCTGCCCGACCCCACGCTGCCCTCCCACCCCACAGCCCCGGAGGCCCCGTGGCACCAGTCCCTTCCAACTCCTGCCTGGGCCGAGCCTTCCTCCTCCTCCTCCTACTCCTCCTCCTCCCAGCCCCAGCGCAGGAGTCCTGGGCCCGGCAGAAAGGGGCCAGGAGTCGGCGGGAAGCAGCTCCTCCCCCCGCAACATCAGGCTGTGGATTCTCCGCAAGCCCAGGAAGGTCCAGAACTGCCAGGTCCTGGCTGGGAGCTTCCCCGGTGCTGCCACGCATCAGGGTCCGACCTCTGGGGCACTCCACTCGCTTGGCCCTGCCTCTGGCTGCAGCGCTCTCTCTGGCGCCAGTGGTCTGGAGCCACCTTCTCCTTCCCTCCCCAGAACCTGTGTCTGGGTGACCCCACAGCGCCGGCATCATGCAGCAGCCGAGCCCCTCATGAGTGGACCTGGTCCAAATGCACAGGTCAAGAGCTGACGGCTGAGTTCATCCCTAAAATCCAGCATAGAGATCCTGACCCTCAGCACCTCGGGTGCGACCTTATTTGGAAAGGAGGTCACTGCAGATGTAATTAGTTAGGACAGTGGGGGGCTGGCCCAATAGCGAGGCTGCCCCCATCAAGTGGGGCTGCGGCACAGCACGCGGACCTCAGGACAGCAGCACAGAAGACTGTGGGCCCCAGTACCTTTGGGGTATCTCAACCTCAGACTTCTGGCCTCCAGGCCACAGGACAAATGCGCATGCCAGGACCCCAAGCAAGGCCTGGGGCAGCCCCCGACCTTCACTAACCTCAGCACCTCGGATCCAGGTCTCCCACAGGCAGGGCAGGGGACCCCGTGAGCTCTTCCGCTTTCTCCTCCTGGGGCACAAACAGAACCCAGATCTGAGTTTTCAGGCTAAGTAAAATTAAAACCGCAGTTTGCGTTAACCTGCAGGAGTTTCCGGCCTCTGGTTCTCACCTCCTTTGACTCCAAGACCTGGGGTGTCTGCAGCGGGAACGTGGCACTGCCGGGCCCCGGACAGCGTGGCCTTGGTGCTGAGACTTGGGGAAGTCACAGCCGGACTCTCCTGACCCCAGCTCCCCCTCCTCTCAGCAGGACACTCGTGAAAGTCATGGAAGGCACCTCTTCCTGAGGGCCCACGCCCAGGAGGGCTCCCATGTGCCCCTCTGCCCGCTGTCCAACCGCCCACCCTGCTGGAAACACACAGGAACTTCACCAAGGGAGACCCACACCAAGGACACCCAGAGCCCCATGCATGTCCCCTGTCTGCTCTGAAAACCAAGGAGCCCACAGTCATGGAGAAACTCCCAGGCCGTTTGCCTAAGGGCGCATGCAGAGCACCCCCTGCTGTCACCCCAGTCTCGTGGCAGACGTGAGGCTGTGGACTGCAGCTGTGAAGCCGCACACTGCTCACACGGCCACCGCTGCCAGGGCGCCCACGTGGCACCTGGGTCAAGCAAAGATCCTTGCAGCCCGCACAGATGTTTGGTTCAGTTTCCAAGTGTCCCTTGTAAGGAAAAGGGGCCTCAGAGTCGCAGGCCCTCACGGAAGTCAGAGCAGACCCACATGCGTGCTCTGTAGCGTGTTACCACAGGCAAGCGCTGGCCAGACAAACAGGTGACTTCCAGGGAAACGGGGACTTCTGAGCCCAGGCCTTGAGAAGCAGAGTGGCTAATCTCTGACTCCCAAACCCGGCCTCGCACTCAGGTACAGCACTCGTCTACAGCCTGGTGCTCTGACACTCGGCTTTTGTGGTGACAGAGTCTGTTTAGAATAAACCAGCCGGGCTCTGCGGGGACAAAACAGCAACTTTGACCTGTGAAATGGTCCACGTGACCACAGTTTTGAAATATATCCCCTTCCAATCTGGCCGCTATGGGCTGAACATTTTATTCATTCCTTTCTTTGTTGTTTCAGAGATGAAAGAAATGCCACAGTTTTCCAACAAGATCTTTTTCAGCATTTAAAAAAGAAAATGATCCTTGAAGTTGGCCGATCGATATTAATGCAGCTCGCACGCCAAAGCACCCGGGGCTGTGACACTGACTTGGCTTTATAGGTCCCACACAGGAAGTTTCTTACAGCTTTGCTCTGAGAAACGAGCTGCATTTTCTTCCAGCCTATTTTGGTAAACTTAGCAAGGGTTTCAGTCTTTGAGCATCTGTCTTTTATTAGGAGAGGTACCAACATCCAGATGACAGCCTGCATTGTGTGCCCTGAGAGTTACACGCTGCTCCCAGCCCATCTTAAATCACGATTTTGTTGACTAGTTTCCTTTACAAGCAACATTTTTACTTCAGAGACAGGCAGGCTACTCACTCCAAAATGTGGGTCCTGTTTTTATAAATATGTTCCACGGCAGAAAAACACCTAAAACAAATGCTCATGCGTGCAATATCCGTGTTAAAGCAACTGCTTCCTGCCCTAATTTTAAATGTAGCATCATACCGTGCAAACTCGGGAACAAAACTAAGGATTTTACTTTTTCCGGGCACTTAATTAACATTCAATTAACAAACTGACATCCCTCCTGGGGGCCAGGATACCCCATGGAAAATTAAATAGCTCTTCTGAATGACCGTGCACTTCGGTTCCCACATTTAGCACTTTTTAAATAATTGCTGACCTTCTCGTAAATTATACACCAGCTCTGAAAACTGGAGGTGCGACTCCAGCGTTTCTGATGTTTACGGGCGCCTGCCCCCGCAGGCCATGTGAGCTCGCTGGCCGCAGCTCACGGACAAGGTCAAGGTTCGCCCTCCGGGGAGCCCCAGCCTGCTCGCTTGCGACCCGGAGAGGAAATCCGGGTTCCGACAGCAGCTCTGAAGGCTCCCGGGCTTCGAACCCGGCGCGTGCGGGCAGGGCTGCAGGCTTGGGCACAGGAGGGATTCTCTCGTGGGCAAAACAGTAAGTCACGGCCGAGCCCTGGCCGCGCTGTGGGCGGCTGTGTCCTTTGAACACGCACGGCCGGGGGTGCAGGAAGCAGAAGGGTGGACTCGGGCCGGCCCGCAGTGCCACCGGCGAAACCCGCGCGAACAAAGCCCTGGCGGGCAGCGGCGGGCGCAGAGACGGACCCTCCCCAGCCCCGGCCCCGG